GAATGTAGGACGGGCGGGCTCCCGAGACACACAGAGAGAGAGAGAGAGAGAGAGAGAGAGAGAGAGAGAGATAAAGAGAGAGAGAAAGAGAGAGAGAGAGAGCCGAATGCTTAACAGGTGTCACTAGTGGGCTACTGGGGAAAATGGATTGTCTCTCTCCCTCTCACTCACACACAAGCACACACTGACTAACCCACTCTGTTTACCCCCCCCCCCAACCGCCCCTTCTTCCGTCTTTCTCTCTGTCTCTTGCCTCGTAGTTAGTCATGAAAATTTACTTACTTCGTATACGTATTGCCTATTTTGCTTCGCCCGTGAGTCGAGTAGTCAGTCGACTTGTGTCGAGAAGCGTCCCGACTCTCCCGAATTATCGTACGATTCGAATAATCGAACGCTTTGATTTATTAATTTCGTAAATAACCGAAGTAATAAACTTTGTCGCATCGTAAATCATCAGCGCACGTACGTGCATTATTCCACAAGTTGTCCGATGGTATTGAGAAATCTCTTGTAGCGCGAGTAATGCATTAGGCGCTTATCTCCGTCGCCATCGTCCCACCACCAGCTACTTGTATAAATTTCCCACCATCGAAGCAACACGTGCGCGTAAATGTTCCTGTGTACACAGGAGAAACGAGCGCATCCTTCGGCATCCATCTTAAACGTCCGTTCGTAGTCTAGTCACAAGGGCTCCGAACGACGCAACTAACTGTTTTCCAAGTAACCTGTGCACGACCAACGAGTTGGCTCGTTGTGCGCCTCTAGCCCCCGTCCCCCTCCCATATCCTCCTCCTCCTCCTCCTCCTCCTCCTCCTCCTCCTCCGCAACAGTCCACAATCCACCCAAAAACAAAGAAAAATAAAAAGAAAAATTGGGAAAAAAAGAAGGAGAAGAAAGGGATAATACTTTCTAGCGGCCGTAGGTAGGAAGCGGAGCGTGGGAAAAACAATGCGGCGGTCGCGTGGCCGGCGTCAACGAGCCCCGTCGCATTGACAAACACCGCCGTCATTAGCGTGAAAACACAAAGCGGTATATTGTGACTAGCGGTCGAGAAGCGTCCTCGAGTAAATCTATTTCTAAAAGGTGCATGTTCTGGGCGTGTCGTATTAGCGTCCAAGGATGTCAGACTGGGAGAGGAAGTGCGACGCGCCGTTTCGCCTCTTTGTCACGCAGAGTAGAGAATGGGTGTCGATAAGCTCGTCATATCGGGCTTAGGAGGAGGCTCGCGTTGGATATTAATAAAAAATGAGGATGTGTCTACGATTGAAATTTATTAATTTTATAGGCCTGGAATGATGGTGCACTTCGAGGCAATTTGAAGTCATTCCCGCTGTACCCGTACCATAAACATTTCTTTAAACTTGATGATATCATTTCCGTTTGAATAGACTTAACAACAGTCATTTAAGGCGTGCTCGTGATAATTAAATCTCAACTGTCGTGCCTCGCGTGCCAATTCGTTTGGCTAATTTCATAAAAATCCTATGGATTATATTATCATGGTGTACATTCTAGATTAAGCGCTTTAGATCACAAGATATCTGTGTGTAACTCGTAGTGTAGCTATTGGTATGTATAATAGTCGCGTGTTGCGATATTAAATATCGAATCTTTGCTTGTAAATGACCTCCAACTGGGATATGCATTTTATTCAATTAATGCTTACTTGATGAAATGGTGAACGCTAAATGACTCGACTCGTAACCCCGGTTGACCAGTATAAACGTATAATAGATGCAGATAGAACAAAGATAGCCGACGCTAGGAATAATGTTATGTGAAAACGCCGATGAGAGGATATCGAGACAAAGAAGAGAAAGGAGACGATAGCGATGGAAAAAGAGAGAGAGAGAGAGAGAGAGAGAGAGAGAGTATAACGAAAGCTGTATTAATGTCCGCATGAATAACTATGTTAATAGCTTTGATAAATCGATTTTCTTTGCGAGATCGCGTTCTTGCATATTCACAAATTGAAACGATCGTATGGATTTTTAGAAATCCGTCGTCGCGCGAACTTCTCTCGGGCTCCGTTACACACATTTGCGTGCACACAAATTTTCATTAACATTACGTATAATTACGTCGACAAGTAGAAATCAGGAAATTTTCTTCCAAGTGAAGGCAAATACGTATCCAAATGCGTGTAAATTTTCAATATTTATACTCCACTTATTATACGATCTAATTTTACAAAAAAATATTAATAAAACAAGAAAAACAAAAAAAAAAAACAAAAAAAAAACAAAACTAAAAAAATTAGAATTACTACATACTTTATGAATAAGGAAACAAATGTCAAACGTGGAAGTGGACTTTCCAAAGGCTCGATAAATGCAAATTGTAGAACATTGAAATCCTACGCTGACGCCGCATATCATTTTCCAAGATCCAATTACATATATCTGCCTCGCGAAGCAAGACAATCAGACAAGAAGGAGAAAGAGGAATAAGACGACGATGAAAAAGTAAAAAATAAGACCCGAGCCAAGCGGAGAAAATCAAACGCCATGCCGCGTCGAATCATCGAAACATGAGACGGTGAAAATTTTTACGAGCTCATCCAATTCAAATCCACGTAGAAATTATTTTGCTGACGAGCATATCATGTACAAGCTATCAGCAACAACTCGCTTAACCTCGTATTTAAAAATCACTTTTGCGCATTGTTGGAGAAGCGTCGGTACACATTACATAAGCCGAGGTGATTGTACGACATCGGGTTTGAAAGTGAATTTTAGTGCAAATACAGCGAGGAAAAAGAAAAGAAGATTTGTAATTTCAAATCTAAATGATAAAATACTGGAGGATTTCATTACTGTAAACAAGAGAAAAGTATTCGCTTTATTACAATATGATTTATAAAAATATTAGTTGAGCTTGAATAGCTGGATTATTCGTATAATAGGGATTCAAGGTGACGAATACGCGTTTACGTCATTTGCATGCATATACTTATGCATCGTTAACTTTCCACATAATCTTAAGCAAATCGCTACTGATATAATCCTGTCACGATAATGAAAAACACTGCAAAGTAAAACATACGATAAAATAAAATAGAATTGTAGTGGGGTGGTGGG